AAGTATTCTCTGGGCTCAGATTATTCTGTCCCTTCACCTCAAGTTTGACCCATTCTGTCCCATCCCTCCCATGTCCCAGTCCTATCCCCTCCCTATCTCTATCTCGTTTCTCAGTCTCCATTCCTCAGACTTCTTGTACCTGTCCTAGTATCTCCCATTGGACCTCAATATAATCTCTACTAGCCTGCTTGCAGAGTCATTACTATTCTCCCTTTTGTGGTTCCTCATATATACTCTCTCCCTTCACCCCATGCCTCTAGTCTGCAGTAGCCCTTACATACACTTTCCCTTTCCAGCTGACACCTCAGATTCCTGCCTTATGTTCCTTATTAAAGCTCAGTTTTGTTTAGGGGTCCACCAATAAAGATTTCCTTGGCCAATACCGATAGCCAATTATTCACCAGGCATATCAGCCGATACCGATCCCATAACCAATTTGCAGGAATGCAGCTAAGCAGTGTTGAGAGCAGCACTCTGCAGATAAGTCTAAGGAGGGGAAGGGAAGCTGGGATGGCAGATCAAGAGGCCCCCACAGCGAGGGAGGGAGTGCAGCAGGGGCTGGGGCGCTGCCCAGCCAGGGCAGTGAATGAGATACTGGGGTAGCTGCGTGCAGCTCATCCAGGGGATCAGCGTCCCAGCGCTTAAAAATGGTGGCTGGGGCTCTTGAACTAAAGCTTGTCAAATTAGCTTTAGTTGAAGCACTGCAGCCACAATTTTAAAATGCAGAGCTTTTAGGAGCAAGCATGGATGCAGGCTGCCCACTGTGGGCTCTCTGCCCTGCTGCCTTTGCCCCAGGAGCTGTGCCAGCTCTGCATCCCCTGCCCACCCGGTAGCAGGAGGCACAACTCACTGCCCCTACTGCTGCAGGATGGGTAGGGGACTTGCAGCCAGCATGTAGCTCCCAGAGCAAAGGCAGCAGGGCAGAGAGCCCGAATACTGCAGTGGGCAACCTGCCACTGCCCCGTGCACATATTTGGGGGGCACATGCCTCTCCTCAAGGGGCACACAGTGGCAGGGAGCTATGCCCCCTCCCCTGAGCCCCTGCACAAGCTGCCCATGTCTCCGCCCCATTCCTGGCCCTGGGGGTCCCATTCACCGCCCTGGCTGGGCAGTGCCCCCACCCAGCCCCAGTGCTTCTCCCTCTCCCACCATTGGGGCCTCAATCTGCCCCCCCATGCCTCTTTCCTCCTCCACAATCCTTCCCCTCCACAGACTTACCTGCAGGGCACTGCCCTCCATGCTGCACAGCTGCATTCTTGGCTGCATACATGCTGCGGTCACATGGAGTTATGTGACGTCCAGGGGCCCTGGATAGAAGGCATATTTATCGGTACATTACTGGCTATACTGGCCAAAAAAAAGCTCATAGCCAATAATGTTAATTTTCCTTTTATCAGTGCCAATCCAATATGGCACCAATATATCGGTGCACCTCTCGTTTTGTTACCCTTCCCAAGTTGCCTCCTTGGCGAAGTCTGTTTGTCTGGCAATCCCAGTACTCTCTTGCACCTTAGCTCTTTATCAAATCTCTCTCCTCTCCCCCCTCCAGTTTCTAGTCCCAGTCTCCCTGCCATAGCACTCCCAGGCCCCTTGCTCAGCCAATCCAAGTTTCCTCCAACCTCCTACTACCAGATCCAGTTTGCAGTAGCCCAGAGATAAAATTACAAAATGAGTCCTACACAGTCCCAAGCATAGAACATTCCCAACATGGGTGAAATCAAGGAGGAATTTAGCTGCAAAGCTCCAATATGTCTAAGTTGCACCATGGGCAGACCCAGTTTTTGGAGATCTAGAACTTGGACAAACATGGGTAGGTTTTTTCTGGGATGACAAAAGGCATTCCCTGACACCAAAGCTACCCTTGAATTTCACATGCTTGTTCCATAGCATGAGAGTGCTGGAGGTTCTCAAAGCAAAAGTCATCAGAATTTTTTGTTTACAAAAAAAGTAATTTCCCTATAAACTCTGTAATTTCCTAAAAAGATATTCATGAAAAATATCCATCTTAAACAGCTAAAAAGTTCGGCAACTGTAAAAGGGATCTTAAAATGAGAAATGTTGGACAATGCTTAACATTTTTATACAGCAATTGCTGAGATTGAAAAGAAGTATGCAAATAATCAAAATGTATTTTAGCTAAAAATTATAATGGACATTTATCCAAATCAGAAAGCCACTGATGTGGAGAGATGCTAAAAGCAAATATAAATGAACGTCTGTACACATGCTTGCGCTGCAGCGCTAGGACCTTTTAAAAGCGCCCAGAGCTGAGGCACATGCAGTTGTTAACGTGGCAAAATGCATGTCAGCACTGAGAAAATGGCAGCAGCACACTAAATCAAAGGTGTTTTAGTCCAAAAGCGCACCGCTGCCATTTTCTGTGATGAATTGAGTCTGCTCCAACCTGCTGGATCTCCGGCATGTCATGGGATGAAAAGGTATATGTATAAATACCCAATAATGTCTATTAATTACTTATAGACTGGAAAGTCTAATAGCACTACTTGAGAATAATAGCATTAAAATTATCTACCTTATACATTTCCTGAAGCTTCATTTTGTAGGACAAGTTCGGAATGTCACTTATGCGTGTATTTAAAAACTACAGAAGTCACTGAGACTTGAGCATATGTGTAATTTTAAAGGGATAATTACGTGCTGTTCTTAAAAGAATGTAATTTTCACTTTATGCAAAACAGGACTGGGTTAGATTTTTATAACGCAGCTCTACCTACTGATATCCAGGTTGTTTTTTTGTTTTTTTTTTTTTAAATAAAAACACAAGGGCTACAGTGAATAAAGCAAATTAAAAAAACCCCATCAAATGTGATATTAACTTCAGTTACTCAGTGATCTCAATGATTACCTCCTCACAGGGCATCTCTTTGCTTCAATGTTAGCTTGGATTCTCTGTATTTTAGTTAATACCTCCCAAGCTAATCTTTTTTTCTTTCAATAAATGTAATACCTTTGCCAAGCACCCAAGTAGCAGAGAGTACTTTATGACCAATGTGGAGTGACTAAATACCCACTGCCTTACTAGCTGGGGCATCAGCAACATTTAGGTGTCCATCAACCACCCCTAACAGGCCAGATAGCTTGAGTTTAAGACACTGTTAAATTAAAATGAAAGATTTGTGTGTGTACAACAGTCAGTCTACAAAAAACTTTTGAGTTACAGCTTGAGCTAACATTGCAGTGAAAACAAACCCCTAGAAGCCCTAAAGGCTGGTATATCACTAAACGGTGGATCAGATGCAACAGAGCAAAGGGTACCGATTACATGGAGAGCAGCAGCCCAAAGCAAATCAAAAAGACTGAATTTGTTCTATTAACTGTAAGTCATTTCTTGTACAACACCTGGCAGACTTTAAAAGCCAAATATTGTTGACCCTAGAGATTTTACACTTTTCTGGGTTGTTACCCGAGTCAGTTCTATCTTACAGGATCCCACAAGTCATCTTGCCAATCAAAACAGGAAGCCAACTGATTTCTGAGACATTAAGATGAATACCGGACTATAGTGACTGATTTTGCAAATCACTATAATTCATTTGACTGCACTTACTATAATTTCAGCTGCAAAATGCCTTAAGGGATGTTCTTCAATGTCTTCAAGCTGATCAAGCTGTGCTGTTAATAAGGGGTATTTCAAGCTTTTCAAACAACTGAAACAAAAGGGGTCGACTATAATTAGAAGCTTTCAAGAAAAGCACTACTACAGCCTCTAATAAAAATGTTATGATGCCACAACATCCAGGAGGCCTGAAACTGCCTCTCCCCCCCTCTTGCTGTTGTTTCTCATGCTGGGTCTCCCATGAAAGGATCTGACTCTCTGGCTTTTCTTTTTTCCTGTTCTGATACCTAGTGGCCTCACCCGAACCCTGATATCTCCAAAACACGATATGCCTCGCTCCATTGTAAGTTATAGAAGTACTATCACAAGGGACAGGAAGCCTCGTCAGTCCTCAATCTCCCTAGTCAGGGAATCTTGCCCTTTTTCCATTAGTTCATGGATATAGAAGGTTTTTCTTTTGTTTTTAAAGAGCTATAGGTTATTTCATACCATTATTAAAATATGGATACACCATAACTTATTCAATGACTCTGGATGAAATTTCCCTTGATCATTTTGTTCCATTATACATCTATTTTAAAACAGAATAAAGAGACTCACAATTTAAGCAATTCTTCCTTCAGCTCTCTCTCACCACTTTCTGATGTTTTCATATTTTTAACAACTTCATCCACAAAGGGTTTAGTAAAATCCACTACTGCATTGCAACACTGGCAGAGATGAAGCTTATCTTCTTGTATTTGGTCTTTTGTGTAAGGTACAGGTAGGAGAGACAGCCGATTTAAAATTGTAGACAATGATAGTCCTACTGAGTATGATTTCTTGCCATGAAGTTTCAATATCACTGAAACAAAAAGTTTTTAGATATCCAGTTATCTACTACCTGCTAGGAAAAATTAGTATTAGGGATATGAGACACATTAAATGTCTTCTGAAATACACCAACACATTTTTTTTCTGCTGCAGTAGATCCTATATTTGAAAACAGGCAAAGGGGATAGGTGTTAAGAGTTTTGGGGCTAAAAAATATTAATACCTGCAATACTATGAATGGGTATACAGCACTGAGAATCAGTACCTTTTAATTCTGGACCATGGGAAACACCACCACCACATTCTTGATTATTGCAAAGAAACTTTATAATGGCATCCTACACAATTAACATACATACAACACATCTTTCTGCCATAAAGCATAGGCAAGAACTGAATATACAAGCCTTCACAAACCTAGTTTAATAAAACAAGTATTTATAGGCCTAAAAGCATCTGCCTAGAGCAGGGGTAGGCAATGTTTTTTGGCCAGAGTGCACATAGGAGCACCTTAGTCCTGATCTGGATGCACGGCAGCAGGCGCAGAGGGGAGGGGGCTGAAATAGGGGAAAGCAGGACAGCCACAATCCTGTGTGGGGAAGCAGCTCAGCCCAGACACATGGTGAAGGAGGTGAGCAGCCCAGTGCCAATCTGGACATGTGGGGAATAGGAGAGGGGGGAGAGCAGCCCAGCCCTGATCCAGACACAAGTGGGGGGCAGAGAGGTATGGAGCAAAACAATTAGAACATGTGGATGGGGAGGGAGCAGCCTGGCCCGATCTGAACGCAAAGGGGGCGGGCCCAGCCGGGTGAGGTTGCATCCTGGCATGTGGAGCTTCCATCATTCCCCCATGACAGGTTTTCCAGCCTGCGGGCCAGATGTCATGGCTCTGTGGACTGGAGGTTGATTGCCCATTTTAGAATCATCTTCCCGATTACCAAAATGCTTTCCTTCTTCACAAATTCCAACATCATTTAACACCCTACATCTCATGGGCTGCTGATTACTTAAAATTCATGAAAAATACGTAATCTGAATGATGTGTTTGTTCAAATCAGAAAACTGTGACTTCAATTGCATAGAAACGAGTACTTGGCACCATGGAAAATGTCTGGTTCCATTTTTTAAATCTCTTCTTACTTATTTGGTTTAAGCTGGTGTTATAAATCAGTATTTTTTTCCCCGTAAAAGAAACATGAGTAAATGTCACAGATATAGATGACTACTACAGGAGGAAAATGACGGTAGCTGAGAGAAAAGAAATTTTTTTTAATACAAGCAATAGCTGAATATTGCCGTTCCATGAATCTCCATCCACTTGAACAATTCACTGCATCACTAGGCTCTGTTGTTATAATCAGTCTAAATAAATTCTGAAATTATCCTTTGTATGCTCCCAATATCAGCCATTATACATCATTACTTGGAGCATTACTTTAACTACAAGTAATGAAAATATTAGGCTAGAAATGTCTTGAATTTGTTTCAATAGAAACTAAATTAACATGGTTATTTGGAAAAGGTACTTTTAAGTGTATAACCAGATAAAAAAATGCATTTTACCTGTCTGTAGAGGTTGAAGCAACAGCATAATAGTTTCAGATATCTGTTCCCCAGATGTTTGCTCAATTTGCTCAAGTAAACCCAATAAAAGCTCCTTTGGGTTACTAAGCTGGAAGAAGAAAATAAGTCTTTCTATATTTACTTATCTGTAAAGTCTATTTTACAGTCTTTTTAAACATAATAACCACTCCAAAAACTACAAATCTGGTTCTGAGTGCACATGAAAAAAAATCATATAGCTCATGCTTCCGTGCACACAGTTTGATAGAAAGTTAAAATGAAGACACAGGTAAATGACATTTAGGACGTGCCTATATGGCACAAGGTAAGCACCAGGCTGCCATGATGGGTCACACAAGCAGGGTCACACCACCCTCCCCTCAGTACGTACTAGCTCCCCAATCAGAAGCAGTGCAGGTACATTAATGTGGCTCTACATGTGTGCCAAATAGGTCTCTCAGCTTTGCACTATAAAGACATGCCCTCATTTTGCCATGGGCCAACATTTTGTACTATTTTGGCATGAAACAACTGTAACTGCTAATGTGAAAACCCAGAATGTTCTCTGGTGTTTCAACTAAATTAAAACAAAATGAAACCATTTCCTCTGATTCCTATCATATAGACTGTTTGCCTGCCTACGCTGCTTCCCAGAAATATAATGTGGAAGTTCTACTGAGAAGCAAAGACCAGTATTGGGGGAATTAACTGACATTATGTTCATGATGGAAATCCATCCTGCCTTTCTAGTTAACTGAAATAAAGATTTACAAAGCACATACTGTAGATTGTTCACGATGACACTTCATTCAAGTAATGTGGTAATAATGATATGATGCTATAAGTGTCCCATTCTATTAAGGTTGTATGTTTAAACATACCTGCACCAATCGATCTAATATTTTCAGGCAGCGTTCTCTCTTATCATCTTCCTGCTGATAACTCAAAATACATCTGACAAGAGGGCAAACAAGATTCCAACCCATATTCTTGACAATAACCTGTAAATCAAATATTGAGACAAAATAGGCCAAAGCAAACAATGTAAAACACAGCTGTATATAAGTATTTCATAGAATCATAGAAAGTTAGGGTTGGAAGAGACCTCAGGAGGTCATCTAGTCTAACTCCCTGCTCAAAGCAGGACCATCCCCAACTAGATCAAAGCTTTGTCTAGCTGAGTTTTGAAAACCTGCAAGGATGGAGCTTCCACCATCTCTCTGGGTAACATGTTCCAGTGTTTTACTAGCCTGTGAGTTAGAAAATTCTTCCTAATATCCAACCTAAACTTCCCTTGCTGCTGCTTGTTCTGTCATCTGCCACCACTGAAAACAGTCTAGTTTCATCCTTGTTCGAATCCTCATCCAGGCAGTTGAAGGCTGCTATCAAGTCTCCTCTTCTCCAAACTAAACAAGCCCAATTCCCTCAGTCTTTTCTCATAAGTTGTGTCCCTCAGCCCCCTCATCGTTTTTGTTGCCCTCCACTGGACTCTTCAATTTGTCCACATCCTTTCTTTACTGGGGAGCGCAAAACTGAACACAGTTTTCTTTAGCCGCCACTCAAGATGTGGCCTTACCAGTGCTGAACAGAGGCCAATAATCACTTCCCTTGACCTACTGGCAACACACCTACCAATGCAGCCCAGTACGCTGTTAGCCTTCTTGGCAACAAGGGCCCACTGCCAGCTCATATTCAGCTCATTCTCCTCTGTAACCCCCAGGACCTTTTCTGTAGAGCTGCTGCCCAGCCAGTTAGCCGTCAGCCTGTACCAGTGCATGAGATGGTTCTGTCCTAAATGCATTTGTCCTAAGAACTTTGCATTTGTCCTTGTTGAACCTCATGAGATTCCTTTGGGCCCAATCCTCCAGTTTGTCTAGGTCACTGAATCCTAGCCCTACCCTCCAGTGTATCTACTACTCCCCCCAGCTTGGTGTCACCTGCAAACTTGCAGAGGGTACACTCTATGCCATCTTTCAGGTTGCTGATGAAGACATTGAAAAAAAAAAAGGCCCCAGGACCAATCCCTGGGGCACTCCACTTGATACCAGCTGCCAAGTAGACACTGAGCCATTGATTACTACTCTCTGAGCCCGATGCTCCAGCCAGTTTTCTATCCACCTTACAGTCCATTCATCCAGCCCATACTTCCTTAGCATGCCTGTGAAAATGTTGTGGGAAACTGTATCAAAAGCCTTGCTAAAAATCAAGGTACACCACATGCACCAGTCTCCCTGCATCCACAGAGCCTGTCAGCTTATCACAGAAGGCAAACAGGTTGGTCAGGCATGACTTTGCCCTTTGTGAATCCATGCTGACTGTTCCTAATCACCTGTTTCTCCTCCAAGTGCTTAGAAATGGATTCCTTGAGGATCTGCTCCATAACTTTTCGAGGAACTGAGGTGAGGCTGAATGGTCTGCAGTTCTCTGGATCATCCTTCTTCCCTTTCTTAAATATGGGCACTATGTTTGCCCTTTTCCAATCATGTGTGACCTCTCCCTAATCACCTTGAGTTTTCAAAGATGATGGTCAACGGCTCTGCAATCACATCGGCCAACTCCCTCAGCACCCTCAGGTGTATCCTATTCAGCCCCATGGACTTGTCCAGCTTTTCTAAGTAGTCCCTAACTGGTTCTTTCACCACTGAAGGCTGCTCACCTCCTCCCCAGACTGTGCTGCCCAGTGCAGTAGTCTGGGAGCTCACCTTGCCTGTGAAGACTGAAGCAAAAAAGGCACTGAGCACTTAAGCCTTTTCTGCATCCTTTATCACAAGGTTGCCTCCCCCATTCAGTAAGGGACCCACACTCTCCCTGATCCTCCTCTAGCTACCAACAGATGTGCTGAAACCTTTCTTGTTACCTTTCACATCCCTTACTAGCTGCAAATCCAATTGTGTTTTGGCCTTCCTGACTTCATCCTTGCATGCCTAAGCAATGTTCTTATATTCTTCCCTAGCTTTCTGTCCAAGTCTCTACTTCTTATAAGCTTCCTCTAAAACTATAAATAATAAATAATAAATTCACCTTATTTTTTTCATTTTGAATTACTTCTAATAACTGGGCAGCATACCCTTCTTCTAAACACTTCTGGCCCGCTACTTGAAAAAGATTAAAATCTTCTGCTCTGAAATGTTTTTCTTCCAGAATTTGCTAAAACGAAAAGCATACATTTACCTTTATAAGAATCAGAAACAACAAACACAAATTTGAGTTGAATTATAAACTGAATTAGAACTTTTTAATTTTATTTTAATTTATCTGTGATTCATCATTTCAACTGTAAAAAGTTATTCACATCTACTAGGGAAAATATAGCAGATTCTGGGGCCTGGCCACACTCCCTTCCTTTCTCTCTTCTTCCCTCCCCCCAGCACCCCGCAGCCCCTCCCTTCTCTGCAGGGCTGGGCTGGGGCCCCTTTCCTCCACCACGTTGAGTTGGGGCCAGTCTGGCCCTACTCCACTCCCCACAGCCAGATGGTGCCCACTGTGCCCACCAAGGTACTGAATCAAGAACACTGAATGGACCCAACCCGCAGAGGTACTGGGCACTGCCAGTCCAGCTCTCCAGGCAAAAGGTTGGGCACAACTGTTCTAGGACAGTAACCAGGGAGAAAATGGAGATAGGAAGCTAAACGTGAGTACCCTGTGTAACAGCAAAGGGTGTTGCTATAAGCTACCCTACTTTTTTTTTTTTTTTTTTTTTTTAACATAACATGTATTTAGATGGAGTCAGTGCTTGTTTCTATAACCTCTCATGTATTTTTACAAAAAGTAAACTACTTACACATCTTTGAACAATTGCTTGAAGTTCATCAATTGCCATGATACCTTTGCTTTGCTCTTCTGACATTGAACAGTTCTGTCATAAATTTAAGAGTACAGTATTGATATGTATATAGTAATAACATACTGAATTAAAGATGGAGACTGAAACATACCTATTCTTATTAAAATATGGTAACATGAAAAAATGAATGTAGTCAGAAAATAAATCTAAATAATAACACAAGAAAAACAATAAAGGAAAAAGGAATTTAAAAATTCATTAGAAGTCATTTAATTCTACCTCCTCTACATACAGGTATTGCTATTGCTTGTTTATTGGAGGCAGGAAATAGCATTGATACTGTATGAGGATCAGTATATTTCTTGTATTTGTCAAACAAAAAGTGAAGTAAATTTGACGCAACTGAATCAAATATGTAATAGCTTCAAGGCAAAACGTGTAGAGATCAGCTTAAGGGGACAGATTTTGCTGGGGAGAAAACTGCAAGGATGAGAGTAGGAATGCACGGCTGTTGCAGAAAACAATCATCACGTACACTACAGTCTAGTTAATCACCATGCTCTAGGACTGGAGTTTGGGATCAGCATGCGTTACCGCATGTGTTACATGCTAAATAGCTAATATGATATAGTTTGCCCTTTTTTTTCTTTCAAGCATGTGGACCAGTGATTCTCACCTGGGGTAGTACAGCACCATGGGGTAACCCGAGATCCTTTCAAGGGTGATGCAGGATGCCACACAATGTTAGCACTGTCAGATCTGTAAAAATGATTCACAAGATAAACCCAGAGATTTCAAATAGAAATGCAGAGCTGTGGCCTTTCTGAGCTCTTTGCAACAGAAAAATTAGTGTAGACTTTTTTTTTCTACGAAGTTTCACCATGCTGGTGTTAACCCACAGGAACTTCTTGTAATTTGAGACTTGCTTTCCTTAAAACTACTCTTACATTTGAAGTCTGTCTGATACAACAAACTACTTCAACCGCCTTTTACCTCCAGACACTTGTTATTCTTCAGATACACTGAAGCCAATGAAACTCCCCCACCCGCATGGCGTGACACACTTGTGTGTGAAGCCTTTGCAGCAGGGGGGACCCCGGGTTACAATAAAATTGAATTTTATGATTTCATCCTCAAGCGAAACGGACATTTGTAAGAAAACGAGGCCTGAAGATTTCGTGCACCTCCACACAGTAGGTGCCAACGCACTATCTTCATACCTTCACTAATCCAACGGGATTATTTAGATAACTACGTTAACTGGCGGCTAAAGAAAAGGAACATTTAATCTCCCACGCAAACTCGACTCAGCTACAAAAGCAGCAACTGCAACAGCTCGTTTTTCACCCTATCAAGCGCTACTGCCAGCTCGCCCGCCCGCTCCCACCCCGGCGCCCGTGGGCGGTTTTCCGCCCTGCCACAGTGTGCGCACTCAGCGGGGCCGACGGGAGGCCCAAGCCACCGCAGGTCTCAGGCCTCCATGCTTCAGCCGGTTTCTACCGCTGCCGGCTTCACTCCGGGTGCCCGCCCCGGCGCCGAGGGCGGCCACAGCCAGGTCCCCCCGCCGCGGCCAAGACCCCACGCTTAAGGCAGCGCCCCAGCAAGCGCCCGACCCCGCTCCTACCTCCTGCGCGGCCGCCGTCCCTGATCCCAGGCTCCGCCTCCCGGAGAGACCGAGAGGCGGGTCTAGACGAGCGCAGTGATGGCGGCGCGGGAGAAGCCGCGGGCCAGGTCGGGCCGCAGGCGCCCAGGTAGGAATCCTAGCTCCCCCCGGCCGGGTGTGGTGCCCTCGCCCTTCTCCCCCAGCCCCGCGCGCGGGGACAGAACCATCCCGGGAGAGCCCGAGGGCGAGTGCTGCGTGCGAAGCAGCTCTGGGGCCGCCGGCGCTGAGCCTTGTGCTGGCTGCCTCGGCTGGCGGGCCGTGGGACCCCTGTGCTCAGCCTCCCCCATGTCCTGCCCCCTCGGCTCCGTCCTGGGGGAGGGCCGGGGCAGGCGCGTGGTCGGTACCAAACGCAGATAGGGCTTTGCTGGTTGCCCCCTCCTGGCTTTCTACTACACGTGTCAGGGGGAGGCCCGGTGCTGGCTGCACCCAGCCCGGGGACGTGCACTGGGCTGTGCCGGTAGTCCTGCTGGGGCCAAAGCCAGGGGTTCCTGGCTGGGGTCTTGCCCTATGCTCAGGGTCAGATTTGGGGTGAGGAAGGAACTTTACTCTGTGGTCAAATTGGTAGGGACTGGGGTTACCTTCCTCTGCAGCAGGGCATGGCCCTTCTTCTCCAGGACCTCTTGAGGAGATATTACTCATCTTTTAGAGAAGCAGGATGTTGGCTGCGTGGTTCCCATGCTTTCCCTGTGCCACGTTAGGGTGTTGTGTCAGGGCTGACAGTAGGTTTATGAAGAGTTGACATTATGGATTTGTATAGGATGGTTTGGATAGGGATGATCCTGTCTCAGGCAGGGGTTTGGGTTAGCCGGCCTCTGGAGGTCCCTTCCAGCCCTACTCCTCTGTGATTTCCCATGTTGGCAGGGCCCACATAGTTTGGATTTGTGCTCAAGGTACATAAATGACATGCCTTGCCTCTGTTCTGTCACTTACAAAATGTGGGCCTTACCAGTCTAGTTTTTTTGCACCTGAATATTGATTCTGTAATTGTTGAGTTGACACCCTTTCAGCCTCCAAAAGTGCAAGTATTTTGATTGTGCTTTCCTCTTTTGCATTTGCAAATCCTTTTTCCTTATGACCTAGTATTTCAGTACTTCCTGGATGTGAAAACTTTTGAGCCTCAAGATAAGAAAAAATACACTAATTTATGTATTTTATTACTAGGAAATAAGCAATCAAGTGCTTTGAAAAATGAAGATGCAGCACAAAGGTATACTATGTAAATTATATGACATAGTAATGAGGTATGGGTTGTAGCTGTGTTGGTCTAAGGATATAGGTAGGCAAGGGTCTTTGGGTAAATCTGATGTCTTTTTATTAGACCAACTCAAATAGTTGGAAAAATTCTTCTTTGCAAGCTTTTGGGCACAAACACCCTTTGTCAGGCTGTGGAAGTATGTGTAGCTGGTGTGTTCTCTTCCTGGATGGAATGAATAGTAAAGAAGCCAGAGGCTGGTGTGCATGCAAGAACAGCAATCAGTGACAAGGTAAATAGGAGTCAGTGGGTGAGAAACAGGTAAGGGGCGAAGGGGGAAAGAGCTGTCTCTCACCCATTGACTCCTATTTACTTTGTCACTCAACCTTTCTTGCATGCACACCGGCCTCTGGCTTCTTTACTATTCATTCCATCCTGGAAGAGTGCACACCACCTGCAGATGCTTCTACAGCCTGACAAAGGGTGTTTGTGCCTGAAAGCTTGCAAGGAAGAAAGTGTTCCAAATATTTGAGTTGGTCTAATAAAAGATATCAGATTTATTCAAAGAACCTTGTCTATGACATAGTAATCACATTTCTTTACATTATTTTGGAGTTCCCTCTTCTTCTTTGCATACATTCAGCAAATAGGCTAGCAACTATGCTATTCAGTGTTGTAAAATGTTTTAAATGACCCTGCAAATATGTCTTAAAGTGCCTTGTCTCCATGTTAGGCAACTACACCCCCAAACTATGTTAAAGGAAAGCTGAGGTTGCCAAGTCCAGTAGCTGGGAAATGGCAGAACTGAAGTTATCTGTGCAACATTAATTCTGTCCCCTTGTGTGTGTCATGATACATTTTTTTAATTGTGTGGTTGCATTCTATTTTCCCACAGGATCTCTGCTTTTCACTGCATAAGGTAGACATTGTTCATATATGTATGTGTATGCCAGGAATACACAAACAGGGATGTTTCAAAAACTATAATTTCAGAATAAAACCATTTGTGTGCAATAGTCATTTATTGGGCCACGTCACTTCTCTATATAGTTGTCTTGCTTGGCAACACAGGTATTCAGTGAGTCGCAGCTTTCTTGATACTATCCTCAAAAATGCTTTTTGGTTACTGTGACAGTCACTTCTGCACCACAAGTTGCGCCTCTGCATCACTGGAGAATCTGTGTTCATGGAGAGCCTCCTTCAATGGTTCAAACAGGTGATAATAACTTGGTGCAAGATTGGAACCGTAGGGTGGCTGTGATAAGATTCCAAAGCCTAATTCATGCAAAGTCTCAACAGTCAACTGTGCCTCGTGCAATCTCACATTGTCATGCTGGAGAACACTTTGGTTAAGCTTTCACATGTGGGCCAAATAGCTGGCTTCAGGTGTTTTTAGAGGAAGTGGTAGTAGATGTGACTTGATTGTAACCTCATGCTCCATTAAGTGGACAAGAAATCCCATGCAATCCCAAACCAGGATGAGCAAAACCTTTGCAGAAGATAGTTAAGTGCAGAATTTTTTGGGTGGTGGCAACAATGTGTATTTCTATTGTATGCTGTCTTTTGCTCTCAGAATTGTAATGCTGGACCCAAGTCCTGTCCCTGGTGACAATGCATGAAAGGAGCCCTTCATCCTGTACATGTTACAGAAGCTGGGTACACACTTCCTCACGTTGTTATTTATGCACACCTGTCAGTTGCTTTGACACCCACAGAGACACTTGCTGGTAATTCAGGGGATCAGGCAAAATGGCATGGATACTGCTAGTACTTAAGCCTACTTCCACAACTAGTTCAAGAATGCTCACTTGCCTATTCACATGCACAGTAGCATCAGCCTGGGTGGTGGTGTCCTCCATACTGGCTGTGTTGGGGCATCTGGCTCAGGTTTGAACTTCTCCATCCACTCGTAGACCTTCCATTGAGTCGCACAGTTCTTACTGTATTGTGCCCTAATCCTACAGTAAATTTCACAAAGCAGCACATCTGTGGCCCACAAAAAAACACAGTGATGGAATCCTGTTCTTGTTTGGTACATGCTGACAGCTACATGCCCATGTTGTTTACATGTTCACTAGCATGATGTGTATTCGACAAAACGTGTACATTCAACAGTGCCACCATCAATGTTCCCCACTCCTTTTTAGTTTCCCACTTTGTTGCAAGCATACAGTAGGCAGCCATTTTGCTGTTAGTTTCTGAAATGTGCATGTGTGGTGTATGCGTATAGACATATTTGTGTGTCCTCACTAACTGACTCATTCACATGAACAATGTGCAGCCTGTGCACTGAATAAAGCAGGGTTCCTATAGAAAAATAGATGCTATTTTTTCCTTATTGTTCAGCGTATGGCCTCAACCTTATTTACTGCACTCTATTCAAACGCTGCTTTCAAGACTATTATTCTTCTGCTGACTTCTGATATTTTGTATTGCTTATCACCATGGTATGCTTCTCAAATCTTTTCACAGCATACCTGTGAGGTATGAGGGTATTGTCCTCATTCTGCAGAGGCACTTAGAGCTTAAAAGACTGTCATCTACTAATTTTGAGCTGAGTACTCAAAGTCTGAGATGCATAGATAGAATATTTGTCAGATTACTTAGTCCTGTTAATACTTAATATACTTGAGTACGGCTCCTGTTGACTTTAGATGCAGCTTTGTGTGCTCAGTGGTTCTGCAAATCAAATCCCAGAGTCAAATTGGGCACCCAGGAAACAAGGAACATACAATTTGTGGCCTCATATGAAGTTTGTCTTGCGTGTCTTGTTCAGCATCGTAGAAAATGGCTAGCAGAGATTGAGGGGAAAATAAAAATCTCTAGGCACCATTCAACTACCTTAGCTGCACGATGATTCTTCTCTTCTTGCATGCTTTGCCTCATTTGGTACATACAGGAACATACTACAGACCACAGCTTCTTTAACTAAACTGTCCTGATGCATCCCCAGCAGATCCCAACTGTGCACAGGGGTCCTGTAGAAGAAAGTCACATGATAAAGGGCTGTTTCCTAGTGTACAAAGAGGCTGAATGAATCAGTTTTGAATGCTTGTGAGTGCTTTATTTAGAAATCGATGTTTCCGTAATATTTTGTGTGAATGTGTAATTTTCATGGTTGTTTGTTTATTTTTTATTTTTGTGAATCAGAATGGGGGGGAGATTGGAATTCCATCATGTAGAATCATTTTAACACCCACCCAGGTCTGTACCAGAATGTAGGAGTCAAATTCAGCAAAATCCAAACTTCAGGTAAATCTGGAAATAATGTCATCCAATGACTATAAACAAAATATAGTACTTGTTTTTCTTGCACTTCTGACTTCTGGAAGTTGTGTTTTGTTTACTGTTTTCCTGGGCATTGGTTCAGAGGCACATGTTAATCTGGTGTTAATCTGGTGGTAGTGATATATCATTACTTCCTTAATACATAAAGATTATTTGTGCAGGCTGCTTGTAGGGACGTGCTTATGGCCTGTAAACTTTTTCTGTATTTGGTGGAGGAATGCCAGACTTACATTTGAAAGTGTCGTGTTTAGGGGAATTTATTGCCATGTAAGACTATCACAGTGAAGTGCAAAAGTTTTAAAAGGAATTAAATTAATTAAAGGAAAGAAATAAAAGACATGATGTAGAGAATTATATATACTAAAGTGTTGCATATATTTTAATCTTTCATGCTCTCTCTTTTAAAGGAAAGTGGCACTTGAGGCTGCTATTAGAAAGAAAATTGAATTTGAGAAAAAAGCTTTGCATATTGTTGAACAACTCCTGGAAGAAGATATTACAGAAGAGTTTCTTCTGAATTGTGTAGGTATTTCTTTTGTAAGTTTTTTAATCCTAGTTTGCATCTTAAACAAATTTAAGGTTCTTATTGGCTCTTGGAACGAAATATTAGGGTTTTAGCCATACTTCAGTCCAACTTCTCTTTCAGTGCTAACAATGATCACTCTTATTTTCAGTGATTCCACAGTGGAAATATATGCATCATATTTTTATAGGACCTGATTTGCAACTCTTCTTGACATTAAGTATTACATTAGTTCTGCTATTTTCAGTGGCAGTTAGATTTCAGATTGAGCAATGAGGTATAAACAGTGAGGACCAGATCATCTTATTTATGAGTTGGGTTTTTAGGGAGAGTCTGAGACAAGGTAGAAATTCCTGGAGTTGTGGTTGCTCTAGTTCTAGCTGAGGCTCTATAGAAAAGATGCCATGGCTCCAAGTTGCACATCAGTCCTTTGCAATGCTGTGCAGAACCCAAAGGGGACAGTTTTTAGCTGAGCTTTCCTCCCATACAGCTAAGGAGAGAAAAATGTATGTAGAAGACCTGCCTGAATACAGATCCAGGTCACTTGCAGAGTCTAGTCCATGAAGAATATGTTATGTTGCAAGCACTAACACAAAAGCGTTAAACTTGTGAAGAAGCCTGTGTAATGAAAAAAGGACTGCTGAGTCATATTTTCTGTTGTGTTGTTATAATAGCGTACAGCAAACATTTTTAAAATTGAATTCTGGATTCAGTTCACACACAATAATCTCTTTTCTGTTTGGTGCTGAAAGACGCGTATTATAGCTTGGATATTCATGAAAAGTATTTCTCTCTCGCTGTGTCTCGTGTGCACATACGCATCATAATTGTGTCAGTTTGTCTAGTGTTTTTGTTGTCTTTATATGACTTCCTGCTGATGCAGAGAGACTGCAGAAATATCTTTTTACAAGTAGTTTTACTTAAATTTAAGGGAAGGTTTTATCTCACCTTTTCTGTCTGCATTCATTCTGTTACCCTTTTTATTTCTTAGCTTCTATTTTTAACCAAAATTAAGGTATTGATAATTTTACATATTTAACAAAAAAGAAAAAATAAGAATTCATGTGTTTCTGAGGTATTCTGAATATGACGGTCTGATGATTAGCTGAAGTATTTTCCTTTCAATTTAGGGGAAACTTATTACCCCATCTCACTATAAGGATGCTGTGGATGAGCGGACTATCATCAAACTGTGTGGCTATCCCTTATGTCAAAATAAGGTAGAAAATGTAAGTTCCTTTTCACTGCTGTTTTAAGTTTTATGAGCTCTTGCGCCTTTCTTTATTCTCTTCCTTTCTCTTTGTCATTCTGATACTATAAACAGGAATCTTTCATTCTGTTTTGCTCTTAGGGCATATGGTCCAGTTGACCTACCACCTACCAAAAAATAATTCTTTAAGGAAAATGTTCGAATTTGATCAATTGAAGACTAACTGAATGATTGAATCCTTTGTCACGCCCTTACATTTCCAAAGAGTAATGTAGATGAAACACTGGATTTGTAACCTCTGTTTATGCAACTGGAAAAGTTCTAATGGTCTGTTTCCTCAATGCAAATATCTAGTGAAGGGACTTTCTAAGTATAAAAATACTTTTTTTTTCCTTCAGATCTATTTTATAACTTTGTCATTTTTCATCTGCATGGAGCACGTAGGTCTACAGAAAGCATAAATAGGATATGTTAAGCAAGGTCTGAAGTCCACTTATATAAATGTTGAAGTAATGCCAAATGATTTACAGTGGATTATCTGGCTAAATCTGTTTAATGCCTGTATTATAAATGGAAAATAAAACTTCCTAATTTTTAAATATAACAATGCTTTCAGTCCTTAACCTTGACTCTCTAAGTAAATAATTTCCCATGATATTTGGAATCTGACATCTATCTCTACTGTTACTGGAGTTGAAGCTCCCCTTTATGCTTAAAGCACAGTTGGAAAACATAACTAGCCTTCCTTAGGCAGACAGTTTGTAGTCTGTCAACAGTATGAATCATGGTAATTTTGTGTTGCCAGCATGATCCGGTAAACAAAGATACAATGTGTCATCTCCTTAACTAATGCAAAGTAATTGTTTTATGTATTTCTAAGGTCTTACATTCAATAGTGAAGTCAATTCTATAAAAATATCTAAACTTTATTTTCAGCTCTTAGTTTTGATTACCTTTAATAGAAAAGTTTGTTTTATGTTCTTAGAGATGTAGTTGCTGTTACATGTTTGCAATACTTTATTTAAACTGATTCCAAATGAACAGATTGAAAGAGGGTATTGAGGAACACAAAGGGAAGCATCTTCTGTACATAGTCTTACTTCCTACACCAGATGAGGCATCAGAAGCCTCTATTATTGGTCTGCTTAGGATTCTGCAAAGAGCTGTGGGTTGCGTTACGTGCGATGAGGATGGGATTCTTGTATATGGTCCTTTTTATGGTCTTACAGATATTAAACTGCTTTTTGTATTGTTTTTCGATTGGCTTACATAGCCTATGGAGTACAGTATTATGAAAATCTAAAGTCTCCTGTTAGAAGTGATACATATATAAAATTAGTTGCCTACTTCAGTCACCTCATGTGGTTTTAAAACTATTTTATTGATGAAAATGTATCCTTTTCAGGTGCCCAAACAGAAGTATAGAATTTCAACAAAAACAAACAAAGTTTATGACATCACTGAAAGGAAGGTATGCAAATGTTTTTTGATTTTGTCCCAAGATTCCTAAACTTCCTTTTTTTGCAATGGCATTCGTATCACAGAGATGTGATTAGCTATCTTAGTCTGAAGTTAAGAAGATGGTAGGGAAGGGTGGCACTTTAGAGATTAACTAAAGACTATGTTTTGCCACTCAGAACACAGTAAATGACACAGCATTCACCCTATTAAGTCCTATTAATATCAAGGGCATTCAGAATCTTACAGGAGATGCAAATCATTTTGCAGGGCAGTCTATTTATTATTACACTGTTCTCCCTTCTGCTTTTTAAGATCTTCAATATATTATTTAGTGCCTCAGGGACTAAACAATTTTAAAGTATATTTTCTATATGCTACGGAACAGGCATGTTAATTGCAGGAGTTTCAGGTATATTCTGAGCTTGCAGAGATACAAAGCAGAGGGAAAGATCCATAAGACCCATAAATCCATATTTTTTCTTAGAGCTATGATTTACCTCTTCTCCTAGAAAAATAAGACATGCTATCTAAAGAGCACAAGATTTAGCGTAGCAGCAATGCCCAGCTCATTTTTCACAGTGCTTTTATAAGAGGTAACAATGCCAGGTATGAAGTGAACCAGTGATTCCCTTTTTTATGTAACATTAAAATAATTTGCTTAGGTTTTCAGGATGAGCACAACATGTTATAAAGCAAGCTGTATAAACTATGTTTCACAACACAATTAGGGCAAATATTTTTTTTCTAAATATGAAGACACAATAGTTTATATGAACCCAATGAAACCCATGAAATTCTCATGTTAAAGGAAAGGTCTGTAGTTTCTCTAGGGCATAGCCTTTGATTTAAATAGCACTGTAGGCTCATAGGTCTAGGCTGACTTCTGGGTTCAGTGTCTGTGGTTCAATAAGAATGTTTTAATGCTTTTAGTAACAATGTAAATATGTTAATTTTATCTTGGTTGCAATCCTGCAGATAAAAAAAAGAGGTATGAATAGCTATTGCCTAAATCTGAAATAATATGATATAAAGCAGTGGAATAAGCAGGCAGCTAGTTTTGCTTCGTATCGCAGTACATATTGCCTGATAGGATCCAATTAGGCAAAGTTTGTTTTTCTGATCTTGTGAAACTGTGTAATCAGAATTAAACACCAAACAAAATTACAACCAAAAAATAGGTGTATATCTGAATAATGCCTTTAAATTGTACAGTAACCTCCTTGGGGCAGGGATTGTGCTTTTGTGTGTATAATGTAGGTTTTCTGGGCTTTTACATAGAACAAAACGTATTCTCAGTACATACTAAATTGGCATGTATTACTAGAAGGCCTGCAAAGCTAGGAGGCTGTTTCTTTCAAGGAGATAAGTTGTTTTTGAATGATGAATCATTTTACAAGACACTCAACTTGCTTGGGTAGAACCTTCTTTTACAGATTTTTAATTGTGATGTATAAATTATTATGTAAAAAGTGAACCCATTTTATTTAATAAAAATAAAGATGTTCTAATAATCACATTTTTCCCCAGTGTTTTTGCAGCAATTTTTGTTACAGAGCATCTAAATATTTTGAAGCTCAAATTTCTAAATGTCCAGTGTGGATGCGAGAAGAAGAAAGGTAATTATACCATTGACTTTCTACATATTGCTGACTTATAAGATTATGACTCTAAACTGTCTAAGGACAGGCAGGCTTATAACAGGGTAAGAAAATGTAAAATGGGTAAATCAGACTAAAGAAAACATAAAATGTTAATAAAAACATGTTTTAAATGTATTATATATAGTCATCATGATATGATTACTGTACATATACAAAGGAGAATCCAGTGTCCTTGTTTGAATGATTTGTGTATCTGACTCATGTCAATAATTGAGTGAAATGATTACTGTATAAGTGATCAATAACTGAGTGAATATGATTACTGTATAAGCCAGTAGAGATGCATTGGTCCATATCATATCAGCACTGATGAAAGGAAAATTGACCTTATCAGCAATCAGCATTTTTTGGCTAATGTGGCCAATAAATTCTGTATATATATGCAACCTCAGCATGCACATGGCCAGCCCAGCATGTTGTAGAGCAGCGTCTAGCTGGTAAGTCTCTTGGGGTGGTGGGGGAGGAAGTAGGGAAGATCAAGGCCCCTGTGGTGAGAGAGGGAGTGGGCTTGGGGCAGGTGCTGCCCAGCCAGAGTAGGGTGCAGGATGGAGCCAGGAGTGGCTCATCCAGGGGGCCCAGGGTGTGGAGCGTGGCTCCTATTGCTGCGTGCACCCCCATGGGATGCATCGGGGTGTGTGCCCCCAATCTGTGCATGGGGCCAGAGCAGGCTGCAGCTGCAGACAGAGGACGGGGACAGTACCAGGCTCTTCCTGGTGTTGGGGGAGGGGAGAGGGCTGGGCTGGGGCTGTGTTTGAGGTGGGCAGCAGCAGTGCTGGGGGGGAGGGGGCCTCCAGAGTGGCAGCCCCCCCTCCCAACAGTGCCACCACCTCCTGGCCTGAGTGCAGCCCTGGCAGCCCCCACTGGGAAGAGCCCGGCACCAGCCCCAGCCCACAGCGGCAGCCCACCCTTGCCACACATACAGGTCAGAGAGCACATGCCCCCATGTCTCCCCCGGGGGTTCACACAGCAGCAGGAGCCACCCCTCCCCGCGTCCCCTGGACAAGCTGCTCATGGCACCATCCTGTACCCCACCCTAGCTGGGCAGCACCTGCCCCAGCCCCACTCCCTCCCTCACCTCAGGGGCCTCAATCTGCCCCCCTCCACTCTCTTTCCCTCCCCGCACCCCTTCCTCCCCAACAGACTTAGCAGTTGGACGCTGCTCTCCAAGCTGCCGGGCTGCATATCAACAATCAGATCAGTATCAGTCAATACAACTCATTAATAATCAGCCGTTGGTACTGGCCCAAAAAATCTCTATCTGTGCATCCCTACAAGCCAGTTGACAGTTAACGGAATTGTTTCCATTCTAAACTGGAAAGTTGTTAAGTAACTGCAACTCCTCTTAATTTCAAAGTATTCTGCTTAGCATTTGATTTTTTTGCATAAGATATGCTAACTGACAAGATTAATTCGTTTTATCTTATTACAGGAACTGTTTTAATCTTGGCATAGTACTGACATAGGATTTGAAGTTAAACTTTACAAATATGCATTTTAACTCAGAATATAAAACTGTAAAAATAAAGCCTCAACCCCACTCACTGCGTGCCCCAGTGCCTCCACCCACTCTGTGCTGCATGTCCCCCTCCTGCACTGCACATCCCAGTGCTCCCACTCATGCTACACCGCACATTTTACCATTGCACCATGTGCCCCAGGGGCAGCTCCCCATTGGACATCCCCACTCACCCTCAGCTTTCTGGCCACAGGCTCTTCCACTGCACCATACCTCTTGGGCACCTGGGTCACAGGGTACCCCAGTACTACAGGCTCAGTCACACTGACCTGCCCCCTGAAGCAGGGAAAGTGAAGCTGGAAGAAGAGGGAGTCCAGGGGGGCCCCAACTTCTGCAGTCAAAACAATGGGGTAACAGCATCTGGGTGGGAGCCCAGGGACCACAATTTAACCTCAGTGGGCCACATGTAACCCATGGGCTAGCACTTGCACATGCTTTTTTAAACAACAGGCAAAATGAACAATGTGCATTTTGGAAGGGAGCAATCTTACTGCTCTTGGTAGACTCACTGTTTGGGTAGAAAAGTAAAAGTACTTGCACTTAACCATGCAGACCACTGGATGTCACTGTTTTTAAATACAAATATCTGGACCTTGTAAGCTTGTCTAACTTGGTTCAAGTTTGGTTCAAAATTGTTTTCCCGGACACTGGCTTTCCTAATCCCCTATAGGAATTAAGCCATAGCTCTAAATAGAGGGAAAAGCTTTAATTAAATTGCGAATTGAGTTTCTGTCAAAGTACAGTAATAGAAATATATGATCTTTGAATGAAGAATGGCAAAATAATGACAGTAGTATCCAAAAATAAAATCTTAATAAAATAATGCTACAAAAATATTGGGAAGTTTACTTTTCTGTCTCCTGAGAGAAATTTTGGAAAATATTCCATTAGTTTTATTAACATCACTCTATACCAGGAGTGTCAAACATACGAACCACAGAGCTGTATGATCCAGCCTTTGGGTCACTGGACTGCTCTGGCACACCAACCCTGGCCCCACCACTGCATGGGGCATGTGGGCTGGACCTGGCATCATGCAACCTGCATGCTGGCTCCAGGGCCTGTCTGGTTCAGTCTTCTCTGGAGCTAGCGCAGGGGCTTGGTTTGGCAGGGTACTGCATGCCAGTCCGGTACTGCATGCCAGTCCAGCCCTGCACGCCACAAGGAGCACATACTGCCCATGAGGCTCACTGTGCACATGGCAGATGGGGCCAGCACAAACCATGCACTGCCTATGGCATGTGGGCTGGACCTGGCACTGCACATGGCACAAGGGGTCTGAGGCTTGAGCTGCATGCAGCAGCCCCAGACCATGTCCCAGGGCCAACATATGCTGCATGCATGTGGACACTGTGCAGGAGGTCAATCCTAGTCTGGCCTGCAGATCAGTCCAGCAACCTTTATCTGGCCAATGGGGCTGGATGAATATGACACCCTGTTATATAGTGTTTCAGTACCTGTCAGAGATACCTAATACTTCTCTAGGCCAGGTATTCCTAAAGTTTTGTTTGTGGAGAGCCCCTTAATCAGTGGGACATTGCAGTGGGTCTTAACAAAATGAATATGCAGTACAGTAACTTTGTTCAATAGATGTAACATAATACGCCTTACATATACAAAGGAGAATCCAGTGTCCTTGTTTGAATGGGATTTGTGCATCTGACTCATGTCAATAATTGAGTGAAATGCGAATAGTGATATTTCATTAACAAACTACCACTACTTTCTCTGTGTGTGTGTGTGTGTGTGTGCGCGCGCGCACGCAATCATAAATGCATTGGGAGCACTGATATAATTGGCATACTACAGCATTACACAGATTGTCAAGCATGGTATAAAATGTGTCAGATCAACTTGCGTAACTAAGCATCACCCAAGACATTTGACATGTCAGTGTCTGTACAGGGGATGGTGGGCAGGGGGTAGTTTTAATTTACCCATTACAGTCTTTTGCCTGCATGTTGAAAACCTCTGATCTAGCCTGTAAGCTCTTCCAGTCTGGGACTCTCATTATTTGTTTATAATAAAACTGTTGGTTCTGGATGTAAATGTATTAAGCATATCTCTGAAACCCTTTCCAGAGTAAAAAATAAAACCTCTCATTGAGAATGTTTCAGTGATACTGCAATAGAAATAATAAATGCCTCTGTTGATAGTGCATAAACAAATCAAGAAGCAAGCTCATTTTAAATCTTGATAGAGAGTTGGGGGAAACCTAGATGGGAGATTCTTCAGATCCGTTGAATGTTGTTTCTTACCTAATCAAAGATTGCCCGTTAGTATTTCTAAAAGCAGGATAATAGTTTTTTTGTTTTTAAATTATTTATAAACATATAGGTTAAACTGCCTGCAATACTTTATTTTAAAATAACTGGTGGTTAAAAAACTAAGTTCTAGTTTTCTTTTCTTTTTTTTTTTTTTAATATTTCTGGGGGTTCTCAAAAAAAAAGTAGTCCCAAATCATTTCTATGGTGGCAGTCCTATTCAAGATCAGTAATAGTGTGGTCATGCAACGTACAACTGTATAAATTGTGTACATGTTTCTTGGATGTAGTGGGGTTGTTCATGGAAATAAATTTACACAGGTGGGTATTTGCAGAGTTGGGCAGTATACTAAACCCTGAGCCATTTTGTTTGTATGTAATTAGTAGTTTAAAATATCCATGATTATCATTCTTTGAAACCTTTTTTTTAAAAAAACTTTATCTTTGTGGGTTGTTTTTGCAGACCACCAGACATAGAGCTGCTAAAGGAAGGGCAAAGGTACAGTTGAATCAGTTATTCTCACACTCAGTGTTTCCACCTGAATATATTAAAAGCAAACCAGGTGAAAGAGAAATCTTTGATTTCCTGTTTTTCTGCATTATACAAGGTACCATTATTGCTCCTTATGCACAGGAATATTTGCCTTATTTAGCTTTTTCCTTTGTGAGTCTAGAGTAGCATATTTGATCTGTATGATTTAGCGTACAGCTGCTCATAGCCTGCAAGTCTTAATTGAACCTGTTGAAATCTGACACAAAAACAATGTTTGTACTTGCATATTTTGTGCCATTCATTCTTTATAAACTAAATGCTACCAATTCTGTGTGTTGAAAGCTGGTGTAAGCCTTAATATAAAATACTTTTGTTTGCTCTCCCTTCTTGCATGCAGTTATGTAAATTGCGATTTTCCCTTTTTGTTTTTGGTTTGTAATATTTGGCCAGTAGGGGGCAAACTCGCATGCACTTGTCAAAACAATTAGTCTGCCAGCCCTTTGCTATTAACTAACATACAACATTTTAGTCACACCATAATAAAATTAGCTTAAGTTGCCCATGTTCAGTTGAAAAGTTAAATTTTAGTGGCTTAGATTTAATACTATTAATTCTAAATATTTTCAAAGCAAACATTTTGTTTTCCTTTTCTGTCTTTTTCCTATCTCCAACTGCAACAATTTGGAATTTGTTTGATTTTTTTTTTTTTTTTTTTTTTTTTTAA